GAACTACTTCGAGGGTGATGGATGAATTTAATACCTGAGATAAGCGTACGGGGTTTTTATACGCGCAGTCTTGAAACCTTCCGATCGCACCTCCTATACAGTACGTTAAACATTTAATCACGCGGGCGTCGACTTGTTTGTGTTAGTCGGTGTCTGCTGCGGGCTTCAGCAAACAAACACAAAAAGTCATCAACAGTAAATCCCTATAAGACGTTCTTGTCATCTTACTCCGTAGAACAGAGGAGTCGACGGACTTCCGACAGTCCAAGAAAACTTCTGTTGTAGAAATCACACAGACACCTCTCAGAGATCGTAATATTATCCTGACAATGCGAGGTTAAAGTTCCTCGCTGTGTAAGTGTCTCCAGTAGAATACGTGAGAAGTAAATCCAGAAATTAATCTGGCACCAAAGAAATTGTTAGACATAGAATATAACAGCTACTCCCAAGAATTCGCTGGTTTTTTTTTTGGGGGGGGCGAAGGTCCCTGTTAACAAGGCGATGCCCGCTGGTGCCCTCGACGCTGTCCAGCCCGGCGTCCGGACGGATTCCTGGGAAGAAAGGCGAATCTTGTGCGGCCCCGAAGGCACGAGTCAGGACCAGTAAACCTGGCAGTCGCTCATCTCGCCTACCGACACCGATTCCTACTCTGATCCAGATGAATCCAGTACACGGTATCAAAACCCTACTATCTTAAAATCCATTTTAATATTATACTACCATCTGTACCTATTCCCTACTGCAGACCGCGTACAGGGACTTCACTGTCTTACTACACCACTCGTCTCGTCCCCACTATCCAACGTGCGATTTCAAATGAAGAACAGGGCAACCCTGAGCTCTAACCTTCAAGACCAGCATGTACGAGGTGCGATCGGAAAGTTTCCAGACTGCGCGTATAAAAACCCGTACACTTATCTTAGGTATTAAATTCATCCATCACCCTCGAAGTAGTTCCCCTGGGATTGAACACAACTATCCCAGCGCCGCTGCCAAGCCTGGAAGCATCCCTGGAAATCTTTCTTTGTCAGCCTGTCAAGCACCATCTGCGATTCTGCCTGAATCTCTTGCCAAAGACTCGCCAAAACGGCTACGGAAACCTATGAAATGCTAAAGCAAGCATTTGGGGAGTCCGCAATGGGTCGTGCACAAACTTTTGTGTGGCATTCACGTTTTAAAAATGGCCGAACCTCTGTCGATGATGACGAGCGTGCTGGACGACCATCTTCGAGCACAACGCCCGAAAATGTTACCAAGATTCGGCAGGCCATTCACGAAGAGCGACGTCGTACCATGAACGACTTGTGCGACATTGTTGGGACCTGTCAGCTGATTCTAAAGGAAGAACTCCACATGCGACGCATCCTGTCTGAGGACCAGAAGCAGAATCGACTTCTCGTTTGTCAGGAGCTAAAAGATCTTGCAAGAACCGACCCCAACTTCCTTCCTAAGCTCCGTGTGACTTCTTCCTCGTCCCAAAGATGAAAATTCAGCTAAAGGGAAGGAGATTTGAGACGATAGAAGAGATTCAGACAGAATCGCAGATGGTGCTTGACAGGCTGACAAAGAAAGATTTCCAGGGATGCTTCCAGGCTTGGCAGCGGCGCTGGGATAGTTGTGTTCACTCCCAGGGGAACTACTTCGAGGGTGATGGATGAATTTAATACCCGAGATAAGTGTACGGGTTTTTATACGCGCAGTCTGGAAACTTTCCGATCGCACCTCGTACATTCACCGGGCCCAGCGCATTTCAGAACAAAGCGTTGACGAGAAACGGAGTTCAGGTTCAAAAGCCCACACGACCTTTGGTTACGTACAAAACTATTTCAGAGTGAAATTCAAACAACGCGAAACTTTGCTGACGTTGTTTTAGGGTTTGGCGACCACACGTCTGACGTCTGACGTGCTAATGGAGCTGTCCGTCAGCTGTTGGCACAGAACATACCCTGGTCTACTTTTACGCGATTATTTTAGGTTTGAAGCAAAGAGAGCGAACGCCATGCCCGTTTATGTCTTCCGAGGGGCCAGAGACAGAGAGACGACGCGCCCCACAGAACACGGAGGACCCACAGTTCAGTGACCAACGCGTGGTCTTCATTAACGACACGAAACAATGCAACAGACGGTATCTCCTAGGATACGACGTTTCGGTCACACTCTGGATAGTATATTTCTCTGGGCTGCGACGAAAAACAAAGATACGTCAGTTGGTCGTCCTTGGGTCACGTCAACTGTTCGACGTTTCGTCAGCACTTGCACTGCAAAGTTGTTTTATGCCAAGAAAGAAAGAAATCATCAGTGAGGGGAAAAAAGGTGAGGAACTGTCACAGAATTCTGGAAATCATCACAGATAGAAAATAGAAGCAGAATCCTGAACGACGTTGCGGCACCAGTCTCTAAACTTTAGAGACTGGTGCCGCAACGTCGTAACTCGAGAGTCTAAAGCCTGCCCAAGTTTAACTCGTCACAGACATTCGAGTTACTTGGCTGTCACAGTATAATCAGATACCGACGTTTCGGAGCAAACTAATGCCTCCTTCTTTAGGAAAATTTAAATCGTCGGGGATCGGGCTCATGCGCTCAGGAAGACGAGGCTTCGGTCGGACTCACCGTCTGCGATGGCCGGCGGCGA